CTGTCTGTCTGTCTGTCTGTCTGTCTGTCTGTCTGTCTTTCTTTCTGTCTTTCTGTCTTTCTGTCTATCTATAGGGGGGAAGTCGTGGCCTAATGGTGAGAGAGTCGGACTCGTAACCCAAAGGTTGCGGGTTCAAGTCTCGTACCGGCAGGGATTGTAGGTGGGGGGGGGGAATGTACAGCGCTCTCTCCCACCTTCAGTACCACGACTGAGGTGCCCTTGAGCAAGACACCGAACCCCCGCAGCATAAATGGCTGCCCACTGCTCCAGGTGTGTGTTCACGGTGTGTGTGTGCACTTAGGATGGGTTAAATGCAGAGCACTAATTCCAAGTATGGGTCACCATACTTGGCCACATGTCACTTCACTCACTTCACTTCACTATATATCTGTCTGTCTGTCTCTGTCTGTCTGTCTCTGTCTGTCTGTGTGTCTGTATCTATCTATCTATCTATCTATCTATCTATCTATCTATCTATCTATCTATCTATCTATCTATCTATCTATCTATCTGTCTGTCTGTCTGTCTGTCTGTCTGTCTGTCTATATATCTCTCTGTCTATCTATCTCTCTGTCTGTCTGTCTGTCTGTCTGTCTGTCTGTCTATATATCTCTCTGTCTATCTATCTCTCTGTCTGTCTGTCATTTATTTTTGGTGGAAAAGAGGCTTCCATAGGTTTCAGTGTGCTATATTGTATTTTTCTTTTTAGACAAAAAATGACAAAAATAATTTGTATCATGATGTCTTGTTTAATATTAATTTTATATTATTTATGGAATAACAGAGTTTCCAAATAGGGAAGAAATCATCTGTCTAGCACATTTACACAGGAAAAAAAAGGACTTTAACTTTAGTGCCTTAGGTTCTTTTCTTTTTACACTTTTTATCAAATTTTACACTGAAATAGTCACTGACTGTTTATTTTCACACAAACTCTTCCCACAGCTGCGCACCGATGCTGAGAAGCGCTCGCTGGTTGAAAGTGGCCTTTCCTGGTACAGCGAGGAGGGGAAGGCACAATGCCGGAATGAGGGAGGATACGACACAGGCAGCCTTAAGGCGGAGTCGTCCAGCAAATGGAAAAAAAGCCGATCTCAGGATGACACGGGAGTCAAGGGTGAGCTGAGGAAACCGCAGACGCTTGGCCACCCGCCCAGCGGACTGAAGAAGAGCCGTAACCCTCCTGTAGGCGTGACCTCCCCCATCACGCACACCTCACAGAGCATGCTCAAAGTGCCAGGAGGTTAGTGATGCCACACACACACACACACACATACATCTAATGGTATGGAAACACACCCTGAAACATGCAACAAATGTTGTTAATCTCCCATGACGTTCCAGTCTCCAAATCCTGCCAACACAGGCATAAATGATCTAATGAACAAATATGACCCAAATGTACTGTCTCAAAGGTAACTTTTATTGCTCAGAGGTTGCTCATTCATAGCTCAGGAGAATAAACTGAGTTCTCAGTTATTTTTTTATTTAAAGGCATAGTTCACCCAAAAATAAAAATTAGCTGTTTATTTTCTCACCCTCAGGCCAAGATGTAGGTCACTTTTTTTTTCTTCAGTTGAACAGTAAAGAAGATTTTTTT